TATTTTTTTTCAAGGCAAGTAACAATTTTTGTGAGGAACATTTTTTAAGAGTATGGCAGTTTTTTAAGGTTGCAGCAGACAGAACCGTTTAGGCACAATCGTGCACACCTAAAACACTGCTACTTTTCATAAAGGTCCTGCTGGCCATAATTGGGGAGGTACCGACCGTTGGTCAAATCGTGCCGTCATCGACCCATTGTATACAATTCGTGCCAAGTTAAGTTATGCTGTTCTCTTTAATCTTTGTATTTCACAGGTCAGTCCTCTTAAACTCGTTACTAGGAAATATCCCAATTACATAAAGTTTCAGCGCCAGTGCGGCTTCCTTGCAGGAAACGTCCGTTCGCACCCCGACAAAAATGTAAATTTTTCTAAGCAAAAGAACGATTTATATACCCGTGAGCTCAGTCATTTTTGGGCTAATCGACTTTTAACTTCCAGTCTAAAGTATGAACGCGCTACATGCACTACACGGTAAAAAATGTTTCCGGTATTTCAATAAGACCTGGTTTTGCATCCAGGACCAGGTCTTGAAATACAAGAATGTATTTATACCGTCTGCTCATACCTGAGCTGGTGGAATCTGCCTTACCGAAAGTCCCTGACAAGGTCGCAGTCGCCGTGGAAGGCGCGCTGAGGCAGGAGCACCGTGTAGCAGTCGACGAGAAGCTGGCGCGCACGCCGCTGGTCGCCGTTCTCGTGCAGGCTCCAGGCGATGATGAGGCGCTCCATGACGCCACCCCAGGGCGTCCCGGCGAGCCACAGCTTGTCTAGCTTGTCAGAGCACTGCACATCGTCCAGGACTCCACTGCCCCAAGTCATCGGACACTCGGCAGTCTGCAAGCATTTGCAATCAGTTGAGATGTAGCTGGCCATTTGTTTCCCCTCAACTTTTTAACCCAAAGACATGATTTGTAAAATTTCATCGTAAGATTATGAAGAAATTTTCAATGAATGAATGATAGATAAGCAAACCACGGTAAAAACAATGTCTCATTTTTGAGGGAAAAGGGAAATCTTTGAGGACCTCCTCTGCTTTGACGAAAACTCCTCAGTTTACGAGGAATTCTCTCCTAAAAATGTGGGATTTTTCCTCGTTTTATGAGAAGATTGCTCAAAATCTGAGGAGAGCTCTTCCTCAAACAAGGTAGTCCCTGCACGTATTGTTTGTCAAACTGTCTTACATTTTGACTTTTTGCCAGTGTTCTACATATATGTACCTCTAGCCCCGATACGGTTAAAGATACGGCGAATATGAGGGCATTCCCCGATTCACAGTGTGCCGTTTTGAGGGGGTTCTTCCCCTGCCATTTCACGATTTGACGCCTCCTTTTACGTCTTTGTGTACACACTAAAAGCTTACAAATATTTTCATTCATGGCTTACTGAGTTTCTGTGTATGAACAAATTAATGCTTTTTTATAAGCAGAAGGGCGGGTTAAAAAGAGCAAGCTTAGAAAACAGCGTTTGAAAAACTGTTGGAAGTCGTTAAATTTGTCAGGAAACTAAAAGTCGGAAACTAGCCGGATCAATGAAGTTTGAGGTGGGGGTGATGGGATGGGGGAAACTTCCCTGTGCGGAGTTGATGAATGGGGTCATTGCAAAATTCTGACCTGAATGAAAATGTGGGGGGCATACTTAGGGTGCTGACCTCAGCTCACAAGGGAACCCCGCCAAGTGTGAATTCCCGATTTTCATTCTACTTTGGGAAATTGTTGCTCTAAGTGTGTCATCGAAGGACACATCAACATTTTTTGCTCAAATTCATATTTAGTGGTTATTTTGGGCATTCGTTCCAAAAGCTGCTATTTCAACTATTGTTTATGATTTTCAAGAGTACTTCCTAAGGGGTAACTCGTCAAATTGCAGCCCTTTGGGCAAACATTTCGTCCGTTTTGCTATATCTGAAGCCGTTTAGGCGCTACCACCACGTTTAGGAGGGGAAATGTACGGGAGTCACTAGAGCTTAAGAGCAGCGGTTGTAAAAAGCAGTCCCACAAAAAAATGTTATAAAACGAAAGTTGTAGAAAAATGTTAGACCTTTAACTTTTGTTTCATACAATTTTTTGTGGGACTGCTTTTTACAACCGCTGCTCTTAAGCCCTAGTGATTCCCGTACATTTCCCCTCCTACACGTGGTGGTAGCGCCTAAACGGCTTCAGATAGAGCAAAACGGACAAAAAATTTTGCCCAAAGGGCTGCAGTTGGACGAGTCTGGGACTGGCTGAAACAAGTCCCAATCTCAAGAAAGCGGATTTTGACAGTGGAGTTTTCATTTTTTTTATTTGAAGTAAAACCTTCCACATACTCCTACAATCTTTTGTCTTGAATCAAGGTGTTCATTTGACAGTTATATCCGTACAGTTTATGACACTTTAACCACTAAACAGTTCTTAGAGTGATTGGGGGAAGGTTCCTCGAGGACCAGGCAGGCGTAGCGGGCGTATGACTTGTCTCGTATACCCACTTTATTCAAAAAGTCGTGGCAGCTGAGCTTACTGCACGTCTCGCAGACGGCACGACCGCAGCCCACATCGGGCAGCCCGCAGACGACGCTGATGGAGGTGGCAGCGCGCACGTGCAGCGTGGGGTTGGCGGCCAGCAGCGCCCTGACCGAGTCGCTGTGCGCCAAGGCGTGCGTACACGGCCGCGCCCCTACGACATACAGGTCGCGCAGCGACGGCGTGCAGGCGGGACTGATGAACCGCAGCAGCTCGTCGTACGACTCAAATACATCATCGAAATCACAAATGTTGAGACGCAGTTCCCGAAGTGCCGGCAGCTGCGGCAGGGCTTGGACGAGCGCCCTGTTCAGGCCGTCCTGTCCTGGCCTCTGCACATACACTCGAAGGACAGGCTCTCTACGCTCGAGGAAGACTTCCCGGAGGCTAGGGTTCGGAGCAGCTTGATTGTGATGCCAACGTTGTATAACTCGATGCATTTGAATGACACCACCCGCAGACGATGGGCTTTGTGGAGGAGCTGCACGCCGGCCGCAGTGCCCAACCTTTTCTCTTGGTTATCCTCTCTGTACGACTCCCCTATTTTGAGGGTTAGGACTTCCAGGGTCTCGCTGGCCTCCAGGTCCGCCAGCCCGTGCAGCAGTGGGCAGGTTAAGTCACGAAGACGCGGCAGCCCGGGCAGCTGCTCCAGTATCGCACGCGGCGTCCACTTAGTTAGCTCGACCGTCTCCAAGGTAGCGGCGTGAGTGGACAAGACCAATCGGACGAACTTGTCGAGTCCCTCGAAATAATCAAATTGAAAGCTCCTCATTGAGCTAGGCACGTTGACAACTTGGGGACACGAGTCGTGGAAGATTGGTCGACGCTCCTGAACGCTTAGAGAAAGATGCTCTAGCCTGACTGTAGACGCCAATGTCGGGAGAAGGTTGGCGGCGTCGTTCATCCTCAAGAAATCAAGCTTCACGTTGACTCGCCTCAGCCGGCCGAGGGACGCCTGGACCCTGACCAGCAGAGCCATGGCCGCTCCAGATCCTTCTTTATAGAGCTCGATGAACAGCTCCTCTATGGCGCGAGAAGTGGTGATCAGGTCGCAGTTGGTTTCATCAAACGGGAACACATGCACGGAGGCTAGGCACGGCGCCAGGCGCAGCACAGAGCACTTCGCATACCGTTCGAGACTCCTCCACCTCCACACGTACGGATTTAGCGCCAGCCCGCCGAGCCTCCTGCACACCAGGCGGCAGGCCAGGAGGTCCTTGATGCTCAGGTACTGCATGACTTCCAGCAGCACGTCCTCGGGCAGCTGGTGCAGGGTCACCTGTGGGCGGTACTCGAGTGTAACAGTTGTAGAACAGCAGACGACGTAGCCATGCTCTGAGAGCGCGACCACCTTCGTGTAGCGAAAATATCCTGAATCGATTAGCATAAATCGGTTGGCGTTGTTCCACATCTGACCTATACTAAAGACTTACAACAAACACATATTTTGTGACGAAAATTATTTTTAAGGGCGCAAGGAACGTTTTGATCACGATGAGTCATGAGGTAACGAATTTAACTGTTATCTAAGCTTTATAATGAGCCAAAGTTTCCTGAGATATCTTCCATTATTCATGAGATATTGAAAAAAATAATTAAATTTTACCAAAAAATCAGATAGAAATTTAGAAATACTAGAGGCTCATTAAAATCTGTCGGGCCAATTTTGAGAAATTTCAGCTCCAACATCGAAACTGACGAAAATCAGCAAAATGCCGCCAAGCCGACTATGGCCGACTATTAGTATGACTCTTTCTGCCGACCCCTGCGACGTCCCTTTCTACTTTAGGAAAAATGTTTAAGTAAACGCCTAAGTCGGAGATCGAGAAATCACCAAAAACTTAATAACAGTGTGCATTGCACAGCACAAGTGGGTGATTCTCAGAATACGGGCCATTTGGGAGGAATTTGTTGGGTCTTTTGGTCGCAATGGTTTTACTTAACTTCAAATAAGATGTGTGCAAAGTGGTGATAGTTTAAATCACGCACTTCTAGTACAATGTTAAAAAAACATATTGTGGTCAAATTCAATCAGTGACGAGATCAGTGATGAAACTCAAGTATTGCCTCCCGTAGCTTTTAATTGGTCTTTTGTTTGCTCCACTAGTGTGTTATACTCTTATTTTACATCCAGTCATCCCCATTTCATGCGTTTTAGTATGACTAGAGCTTGAGGGTACCTCAGCCCGATTACTAGGCAACACCTGCATACACGCATGTAATGCGTGTAGCCAGTTGGCCCTCTTCAGGCGCCTTTAGGCGTGGTTTTTAGATTTTCAACCGTTTTCCAGGTTGCGCATTTTGACAGGCGATACTGCTATCGAAAGGGTATGAGGTGTCCTTTAAGTCTGCGAAGGAAAAATCGCAACTTTTGCGGACTTCAAACGCCGAGCTCAAGTGACGCGGAACGAGACACTTAGGCCCCCGGCGTCCACAGGGTGACGGTGGTGACCAATTGCACTTGCCGGATGTAAAGTAGAACCCTTGACCTGCCGGCGGCGTCTGAATTTTCATGGTGTGATAAAGCTTATATAGGAAAACGGGCTTTCGGCCCGTTTGAGTCACGGCTCGCTTTGAACTGTCTTTCTGCCAGGTATCTTTGCTGTCTACTTCGTAATCAAAAATCAACAAATGAAGCATTCTTTTCATACGCTCAACATCTTTGGCTGTGTGTGCCGCAGCTTGTAGAATACATGCAAGTTATGCCAAATCCCTTTTAAGGTATTGATGTTAGCTTACGGATCCAATAACACACCTATGAAAAGATATATAAGACTTGACCCAGAAGAAGTTAAATATACTTCCAGGCATACTTTGAATGACCCCAAACATGTTCGAACAACGAAATAAATGTTGTTGTTTTTTTGCATGGAAACCACAAAATAAGCCCACTCTTCTGCTTAGAAGAAAATTTTGAACCGACGGCATACCTCTCAGACAAAAGTGTACTCCTGAAAAAATAAAAATATTGCTGTTTCGGCCATTTTGGTAAGAAGAACTCCCTTTTGTAAGTAAACAGTGAAAGCAGACGGACGATATTTTAGACCGCAGAGAGTTCTTCTTTCACGATTTAGCCCTTTGGAGACCACCAAATATTTTCTTAAAATAATATATTTGTTTTTGGGCCAATTTGGTGAGAAAAGCTTCCTCTGGCGTCTCAACGGTAAGAGATACAGACATATACGGACAAAATTTTAGCACATAGGGATTTAGTTTCATAAGTTAGCCCTCAGGAGACTATCAAATATTTTCTAAAATTAATATATTTACTTTTGGGCCACTTGTGTGAGAGAAACTCCCTCTAGCGCCTGAACGGTGAGAGAGAGAGCCAAACGG